TGTGAATAAAATGACACGGTATTTCTTATTTGACACTCTGAAGACATCGATAATTGCCGATGGGCAGCCCGAAAAGGCCGTTACAGTTGGTAAGCGAAGGGATAACGTGATAATTAGGGATTGCGGGGCCCTGTGTGCTGGCTTTGTACTGTTTCGTTTAGATATCACCAGTTCCCGAAAAGTGTTTGCGTCTCAGTGAATGAAGTTGTTTGCCACGGAATTCCGGATATGCGAAAGCTTGAAAACGGCGACATCTGCAATGGTACATGCGCTTCTAAATCCCCCTCTTGTCTGACGGTCCTTTCAACTCTTCCAAATAGTTAAGGTAGTTGTTTTAGTGGATGTGACAGTGTACCATCGAGGTTTTCATGGCGACCTCAACGAGACATTCCTGGTTGGCGATCAGGTGAAGGAAGGAACACGAAAGCTAGTGCAAGTTGCCTATGAGTGCCTTCAACAGGCCATTCAGATTGGTGATTTTTTTTGTTAATTCCTCAAGAAAAAGTAAATGGCTTAATCAGAATTAATAAAGAAAAAAGCTTTGCAGTTCAACCGGGCGTAAAGTTCAGAGAAATTGGCAGCGTTATCCAGAAGTACGCGAATACGAAAGGTTTTTCAGTCGTGAAAACATACTGTGGGCACGGCATCCATCGGTAATTTCTGATTTTTTAATCTTCGAATAAACTGTCAGTTTTTCTGTTGATGTAGTCGCCGGCCTGTTGCTTTAAGTTGCTGAACCGACTAAATCAAATTTGTAGAAACAGTTCTGCATTCCTCAGCGACCCGGCAATTTTAATTTTGGCAACTCAGTCTTGTTTTTTGGTCAGTTGCATTTCTACTTTAAAAAAGTGCTGGCAGGCTGATATTGTGGTAAAGTACGCTTCTGTTAAATTTAAGGTCAGTGATTCAACTTCTTCTATGGGAAAGTCAGTCCTTCTGATTTGTTTCGCGCTTAAACCGTTACCGGCGCATGTGGAAAGAGTCGGAAATTGTAGTAGTGGGCTAAGGAAAGCCAAAAACGGTGTTGCAGCTATACTGCTGGTGTGGAACTGCTGTCGCTTAAGCTACTCCTAAGTGCTTCGGCCTTTCACCGCTCGTGAAACGAGGGGGGGG